CACTGAAAAAGAGCGCTGTGAACTACATCAACCAGATGTTTAGGGTCGAGATTCAAAACGTCCGCTACAAAATTTAAACCTAAGAAAGAAAGGTACAGCCTGACGGCGCTTTAGGTCAAAAGAATTTCCTTATGATTATTGCAAAAAAAAGTAATAGAAACAAGATCCTATTTCGGATGACAATAAAAGCAACCAAGAAGCTGTTTGCTTTAGATCAGTCCGCTATTTAAATACGTCAAGCTTCACAATTATAAAAATGCTGATTAAATGCCAAGATGGCGAACATCTTGGATGTAAATAAAATATTGAAATCTGCGCAAACTATATCATCGACGCCTCACCTTTTTTTCACGTTATTAGTTTAATGCTACCTTTTCAATATAAGAGCTTGGTACAAGAAAAAGATAGAATAAAGAATTATGATTCTAGGATACATGCTCGAGAGTGGAAGTCTCGATATACTTTCAGGTATTACGTCTATTCTCATGAGTAAAAGAGGCAATTGATACTGAATAATGTTTTGTTCTGAGACAAAAGTGTTAAAAACATGTTTATCAAACTGGGACCATAGGCTTCGCTTTAGTTCCGGGTAGCTCCTACTAAAATCTTTGAGACGAACAACTCATTCCACCGCTGCATAAGTATGAAAATTACTGTTTCTGCTTATACTATGTTAACTGTAAGCTTTATCAACCAATTACTCTTTTTTTATCAACAACTATCATCTTTGCTTGTATATTTATTGTGTTCGACTTAGCGGGAACGCAAACTACCCGTGTTGCTTCTTTCTGGATGCTGTGCAGTTTAAGGGTTTTGGCGCCATCAAAGACTCGCTACATCTTAGAACACTAGCCTCAATTTCATACGAAAGCTTTGAGTCCCCGCGCGCTGACTGAATCAGTTAATTGTTGTGGATAGTGACAGTAAACAAACTAGTATTGAGACATTTCTAGAAAGTTGAGTCATGCTAAGTTGCTTATATGAACTTCTGTGGAACTTTTTAGAACATTGTATCAAATCATGTAGTTATGATGTATTTATTTCTTATCCAACTACCCTCCGTAGAGAACAAATAACGCCATAGACGAGTACAGATATCACTTGGTCTTTGTACTCCATAGAACCGGTTAGACAGGTTTTCTCGCATGGCGCAAGCGAAGAATTGGGTTGAAATAACGGACAATTTAAATTATATTTCTGACGAAGAAGAGTCGGAATGGCTGGAAAATATAGATCCGAGTTTATTAGATGAATCGAACGAAGAAAAAAAGCTAGACGACCAGGAAATTTCTTCATTCATTGAAGAAAATAGANGGCTTTCCGTGCTACCTAAGGCCAAGGAAAGACCGCAGATTGCCATATGTTGCTTAGAATGATTAGGAAAACTAAAATGTCTAGCGACTGGTTGCGATGTGTCCTTGTCATTCCTCTCCGGATCCACGTCGCGAAGGTGTTCTCGGAATCGGTCACCTAGTCTTCTGCCTGTTTCGCCGATGTAAATTTTTTTGCAATAAGTGCAAGTTATGCAATAGATTACATTGGCGGAGGTGCACGTGAAGTGATCGGTCATTTTAATGGATCGTTTGGGTCCCAAAATTTCTCAATGTTGTGAATGAAAGGACACGTTTTGCATCGTGCACGAGCGCATTTAAAAGTGCCTAGTTGGTCATTAGTCTGAAAAGTACTTCTGACCAAAAACCAGAAAATTGCCTATGTTTTTGTCGCGTTTGAATGAAATGAGCGGAGGCTGCGAAAAGATAGTGCTTGTCTGTGGATCGTTTTGAAGTAATTTAAAGTTTTTTTAAGATTGATGGATTTAACTGAGTGGTTGTGAGGGTGAAACGTGAGAGTGAATGGAATGCGGTTGGAATCTTCCTTTTGTGACGTTTGTAGTGCTGAATGTCGATCAATAAGTTGGTCGCGGTGATAACCCGCTTGAACGACAGAAGCAGGGTAACCACGTTTATCGAAAAACTGGCACAGAATGGGATCTAACTAAGCCAATCTTTTTATAGGTTTTGTCGAACGCTAATTTTTCAGCCAATACAACGGCTCCAAATCTGAACTCTACGGTCGCTACATCGACGACTGTATCGGCGCCACCTCCTCTACCAGAGAGGAGCTGACTCAATTCATAACCGCAGTCAATTTTTTTCACCCGGCTGTGAAATATACCTGGGAAATTTCTGACAATTCTTTATCGTTTTTAGACATCAAAGTTTCAATTGAAGGCAACGATTTATACACTAGTGTGTATTACAAACCTACAGACTTGCATAATTACTTGTTGTATTCGTCTTCACATCCATCTCACGTTAAAAATTCCATTCCTTTATCTCAGTTTCTAAGACTTCGTCGTTTATGTAGTGATGACTCTGATTTTCACCACAAATCAGAGTCAATGTGCCAGTTTTTTCGATAAGTAACGCATTGCGTGCTAAATCGTGGAGTCACTACGAGAGAAATTTAAACTGGGTGATATTATAACTGGGATGACATGTGCAGGAAACATTCTGGAATAATGGCAGAAGCCCTGAGTGAATATATATATATATTCAACTTATTAGTACATTGTGAGCGGATCAATTGAGATGGGTGTCATAATCATTTAATGAGTATTTATTTCGAGCGAGACCCAAAGGGATGAGCAGTGAGTATTAGCGTACGCTGATCAAAATTGTCATTATTTTGAGTTTGTAAATCATTTAGTGGAACGTCAAATGTAGATAAATTATGACCATTTAAGCTTACCAAATAAATTACTACGAATCGGAACTGTGCGCCACGCAGTCATCAGATATTCGTAGGTTTAATTGTATCCTGAATTTTCGTACGCTGAGACAAAATTTCCATTCCTACATAAGCTAGATCGATGGCTCTTTAGCAATCAATGATTATTATTAGCTGTTATTATATCCCTTTCTTTTAAAGTGACAGTTGCTTTTTCCTTTCTTATCCTGCAGTTATGCAAAGCGGCTGGACAACATCAGAACGAAGTAAGTTCTTCATTTATCAGCTAATTTGAAAAAAAAAGATTAATAGATAAGCAATATCTCCAAATAGTTCATGCAGTTGTTATATTGGGAGGTTCCCCAGCATTTAGATTTAATTCGAACAGCGCCATACATATTTGATTACTTCTCTTCCCAATGTTATCGTCCCCAGAATCAGTGCGCAATACTGAAAAACGCTCCTCAATGCTGACCTATCTAAAGCGAACGGAATTCTTGCCATCTGTCTTTTCAAAAATTACTCTGAATTAGTAGAACTTCAAAACACGCTTTCTCTGTCGATCCTCTTTAAGGTAATATTATCAAATCTGT